CATTGTGCAAGGGAAAGAACCCCGAGCAGGATAAGGCTCTTGCACAACACACCCAGCAATTAAATATGTTGTAAGCCTGTTCATAACCAGTACTGTTAACACTACATGGCAGGCAAGACATCTCACAGGTTTGTAAATATCACAGAATTTTTGTTCTTTCAAAACAATCTACTTTTCTTACCTTTTTTTTTAATATTGAGCACAGCAGTAGTTTATTTTGCTTGCTACAGTTGTTCCAGTTTGTCTTAGCAGTATTAAGTATGAACTTGAACACTGATTTCCCTCCCAACTTTTTGATCCATCGTGCATTGTAGCAACTGAGAAAATGAACAGAAAATAAAACACCAAATACCCCAAAAAAAAAGCTAAAAGGTGGCAGCCTTGGCCCTGTATCCAGGCTTGTATGGCCTTTTGTTGCTGATCTAAGTATTGCTAAGTAGAGTCAGGCTCCAGATTAAGGAGGAAGCTAAAGGTGGCTTCAAATAGTTATTGTCACCACAAGTTATCAGAAGTAAGAGAGAACAGTATTATGTATTATGTAGTAGCTTCATTAACATGTTATAAGCATGTAAAAAACTCTGGGAACAAACCATGCAAAGTGTCATTTAATTAATTAAGATGGTAATATGCATCTGCCAAAATTCATGGGCCTAACATATTTTTATTCAAGATAACAGAAAAGAGAGGGTCATGTTTCCTGAGGGGCTGGTTTTTTATTAAATAAGTGTATCACCTGACATAATACAGAAGAGTTATGAATCATGCTTTTAAAGTAGCAACATTTGTTAAGACATGAGAAGTTAATTAAATGTACAGATCTATTAAAGGCATAATATTGCTGGATTTTTTTTCTTCTACTTGTTGCTCAGGTTACTGTCTAATGCTATCTAATGCTACTGTTACTTTCCTAATGCTATCAGTACTACAACTAAATTGAACATAAGAGTCACAGTTAAATTTCTGCAACTGAGTTTCAACATGCTGGGTTTTTTCTTCCTTCTCACCCTCTCTCCCTTCACACATATTCAAGAACATAAAATACAACTAAGGCACAATCCATGCCCACAAACTATATTGCTACAACGCAGCTACAGCCAGCTGACATTCCAAATTTTTGTTCTGGTGGCTGATGGCAATCCAGTGCCTACCCTGAGCTGGCTCCTGGCCCTTAAAAGGATGCAGTCAGTATGAGTACACTTAAGCCATCAAAAGGTTTATTCCTTTCCAGCAGCCAGACAGCTGGTTAAAGGAAGATGGCCAATACAAGCAAGGGAAACTCCTTTTTGGCATTCACTAGCGAACAGACCACCTCGCAGCAAATTCCCAGAATAAGCTACTCTCTGCTAAGGTAGCAAATGAAATGGCTACCATGTGCATATCTCTCAAATCCAGGAAAACATTTAAGGAAAAATTGTATCACAAGAAAAACTTGCCGGAGAGGTAGGTGGACTTAAATAGGCCCACATGGATTACTGCTATGAATTAAGTGCTAGAGGGCTAGTGCCTATAGCACTAGTTAATTCCACTAAAGTGTTTTTAACTTCTGGTCTTGCCCAGCAAAACATGCTGTTTGCATAACAAAGCCATTGCAGACTACCTGGGAAGTATAAAAACATGCATTTGAAAACACTCCTCCCATAACATTCCAGGTTTTGACTTTTCAAACTTGGGTCTAGTAGAAAGCTGCACTTCAGTGTCAGAATTTCTTACCTTTCTACATGCTTCTTATATCAGAAGAAAAACTGAATTTTAATTAGCATGATATTATTCACTCACATAGAACAGTAGCATTGTATTTTGCCATTGGATAACACAGAAAAGAAATGGAGTAAACCTGTTTTATTAATGATTGCAAGTCACTTTTGCAAGACATTTCATCCTAAACTTGTATAATGTTTCAGAATTTTTTAAAATTGAATTCCGCCCAAACCAAAACCAAAACCGCCATGGCATGAATTGTAATTACCAAAACTAAGATTAACTCATTTGCAGAGTCAGTATGACTTTCTGTTAACATCTCTTTGCACTTACAGTGCTGTGAGTATGGAAACCTGATCACAAATCCCAGAAGTAACAGATTAATACGTTACTACAGGTCAAGTAAGTTGCAATACCTGGTAACATACTGGTTCCTCACAAATAAAATGTGTTCTGCTCTGTGCATGTGCCCTACCAAGATCTTGATTGAATGAAAGCCATAGAAGTGGCTTTTTTTCTGAGGAAAAGCCACAGAAACTGCCCAGCCCCATGCTGGAAAGCTTGCAGAATTCAAAAAAAGCTGTAACTCAGCAGTCTTAGACTGGAAAGAAGCATTGTCAAAAACAAGTCAGATTTACTGTTTGTATTCAAAACAACTCCTTGAAGCAGGGGGGAAAAAAAAAAAAAAAAAGGAAGAAAAGCTCCCTATATCAGTATAATATCCAAGATTAGCCTGTGTGCTGACATGGAGATTGGAGGGAAGGGAACAAGCTAATTGAAGCCTGATTTCAGGACTGATTTCAGCCTGATTTCATTGGCTGGTTTTGCATAAAAGTACAACACTGAAGGCTCCAAAGAGCTTTTCCAGAAAGCAGTGATTATAGAAGATGCATGTTAGATGGATAATGCAGGAGCCACTATATGAGAAATCTTCCATTACTCAGATCTACCAAATTGCACTGTTGCCTTCCGCTGGCAAACTAACAAAAGTAACTTCAACATGCCATAAAATTATGGTTTATATCAAACTTGGATCATAATTTAAGCACTATGAAAGAACAAGGAAAAAGAAATACCAAAGATTTTTAACAGCTATGCTAAACAAAGCAAAAAGAACACCAGTATCTTTTTAAAGTTACAGATAGCATCAAGTAAGTTTCTTCCTTAAACCCTCCTGAAATGAGCAAACGTTCCTTGTGATATTTAAATCATGCAGTATTTCTTTAGAAGCCAAACACAGGAAAACAAGAATGTGCCAGTTCACTAATAATTTTGTACTTTCTGCCTTTACTACACATTTCCTTCCTGCTTCCATTGACTTACACTATATAACAGGATATTGATTTTGCTTAAGAAATTTAGAGGAATTTTCATGTGCTTTGTTAGTGGGAAAAAAAATGCATTGTGAAAGGATGGTTACAAATTAATCTCCAACAACTGTAATACATATATAAATATAATACCCGTATCATTAACCTAACAAATCTTCAATAATAATATACTTTTTTCTTTCTTTTAAGTAGTTAAATTTATATATAGTTGTAATATGGAGAGACTGTAAGGACAACCAAAGAATCTAGCATCTAACAAGCAGTTTAGAAAGTAAAGCAAAATAAAAATTATTCTTCCTTTGGAGACAGATTTTTGATTACTTGTCATTCTAGGTAGAGCACTCTACACGTGTTCCCACTAGACAAATACCTCAGTTTCTGATCAAGAAGCAAACAATTTAGTTTAATACCATGCTTTTCAGATATCATATTCAGGGAAGAGAAAACTGTGTTGCTTAATTTTTCTTTTTTAGATATGCGTGACTAGCAACAACTGAAAACTTGCAACATGTCTCTCTCTGATTTTTTCATTCAGAAATTTTTTAATCCAAAAAGAGAAAAAAAAATCTTTCTTCACAGACATACATTACATATTTACTATTTCTTCGCATGCTGGAATCAAATATTACAAACATTAACAAACTGACTGAGAGGACATGTAACTTCTGTAATTTAATCTGATATGACTCACTAGGAATAAAATTGCAAGAAATCCGTCAACAGCATGATAGAAAATATCCTTACAGCCATGGGACACTACGTATATTGTTTTTCTTTTCCCTTGCTCAAAAACAAATGCTACATTCAGAAAGCTGTGTTAACTTAAGATACATGCCCCTGATTTTTATAGGCAAGAATAGTATTCCAAGGAGCATCTCTGAATATAGCACGTGTGTTGACACTAAAGCTAGATAATATATGAGAACAAATTACTGAAAATAGTTAAGAACCTCTGTCATTATTATTCTCCAAACTTATTTTTTCTAATTAAGCTGGAAACAGGTTCACAAAGCTTCTTGGGACAAATACTTTCCTAAGGGTAAAACAGGAAGCTCACAGTCCATGCTCTTTGCATGAGACAAACAACTTAAAAGAAGCAGCAAGCAAACTACCTTTGGACATAAAAAAGAAGGAGAAGAGTTGAAACCATATGCTTTCTTTAGGAAATCTGGCCCTCAAACTGGAAAGTTTCCTTATGCCTATGTTGTGCTTGCCATTTTTTGTCTGAGTGGAAAAAAAAAAAAAGATTTATTAGACAAATAAAAGATTTATTAGACAAATAATAGCATCAGTCATGGCACGCTGAAAACAGGCTGTACTGCAAGCAACCTTCTACCTGCAGTATCCGTTGACAGAGACCAGCTATTGGTATAGTACTTTGCAGAAAACACTGTCCTGCTACAGTACTAAAAAAAAAAAAATAATTTACCAAATCTGAGAGGAGTTTCATTTTGGAAACATTCTGAAAAAGAACTAAGGAGTTCAGGAAACATTGTTTATTTCCTGAGAACATAGAGTACATTCACCATGAATCACCAACTCTCACTTGAGATCAGAGTTAGTTTCATAAAAGCAGAATTATAGAACAAAACATTTTACAAACAACTTACCAACCAAGCAATTGGGCACAATTTGCTAATAAAACCATGTGTAATTGGGAGAAAAACTGATCCTCAGCCAAGTAAAACAACAAGGAGATGACTGAACTGCTTTAAATGATAAAGGTCTCTTCTTAAAGAAGATGCTCAGAATAAAATTTCCAACCATTTTCAATATTGACTGTTATGTTCTAAAAGGTTAACATTTCCAAGTACTTATTTTCAAATGCATATGAGGCGATACAAAGTTGCAAGATATCCTTAAGAAGATATTTTTCTACCCTTGGTAACCTCAGTGCAAGACATTAATTAAAGTCTGACACCTGGATAAAGATCTGATTTGTTGGCTTGATAAATAGATGACATTAAAAATCTAAGTTTTTAATGTTAGTTTTTGAAGAAGTTCATTCAGCAGCTTCACAGTCCTTTGGTTTTCTTCTCTATTATGGTTAATTCTGTAGGCAGTACGGGTAAGAAGGCTACAAACTTCTTTGCTTGTATCAGTTGCCTCAGTAATCTGAAGGGAAACAGAGAAGATGGGAAATAATGCAATTATGTTGCCAAGTACAAAGTATTCTCCATTAAGATTTGTCCCTCCTCACTGGACATGTGAGATGCTCTTGAGTTCTAAAGCAACTTCTGCCCAAGGCATCGCTTTTCATACATCTTGACAGAACCATGCAATCTGAGATTTCTACAGTTGTCTCAAATTTAAGCAAAGCAAAGCAAAAGGTCAAAAAGTTTTTAAAGGAAACACAAATGGACAGAGTATAACCATTTAGAAGTAATCTTTTCAGAAAACAACTGAAAACAGATGAATGTTTTGGGTGGGTTTTTGGAGACAATTCAGTTCTGCAAAGCTTTCAAAAGTTAAAATTAATCTTTTCCCCAAAAGGTGACCAGGAGTACCAGGAAAAGACCCTAAATTGCAATTTTTGCAGATCAGGAGGGAGCACTCCATGTTACCTGCTGTGTTAATCCCACAGTTTACTATGCTAATCAAAACCACGGCAATGCATCCCCATTTTGTTCCATACATTCTGCCTTTCATAGACAGTCTTTGGGCCTTTTCAAATCACATGGAGAGCCTAGCTACACAGTAATGATTACACAGATACAGTCAAAATAAATCAGACTGACATTACTCTGGTCTACAACAGCTCATGACCACCCTTGCACTGGGGAATACACGGAGTTTCGGAAGTTAGTTATGTTGTTTTCCATAAAGAAATAAGAAATTGCCTTTGGTCTTCCTGAAGAGGTTTAAAGCAGCAGACTAGTATATTACAGCATCACTGCTCAACAGCCACACTCCTCAGAAGAAAAATACTAAAACCTGCAGACTGTAAAAATACATGCAATGCCCTGATTTTATCATTATATTATTGTGCTAAGAAGAAATTGATCATTTGTGAATTTACAGCTAAAATGCTAGAAATATCTTAGCCCTTCTTGAACAGAAAAATGTTACATCTGTTTAGTTAGCCACCAGGAATAACCACTAACATAGGTTTCCAATTCCCTGTGTCATGAAATCAGGTTTCTTATACATGCCATATACCCTACAGCAATGGAAGAGCACACTGTTGCTGTAAGAAAAAGCTTCTGAAGTGCTAAAACCACACACTGGCCCTAGATATGCTTGCAGAGGAGTCTTGTGCTTCTTAGAAGAGTAAGATTTCATAGTTAGAGAGGAATAAATTCCTAATCTCATACTGAGCTAGCACTATTTATCTTGAGAGACACAAACATATTTCACTGTTTGCACCAATGTACCTGCCAGCTCTCATCAACAGTGGCAAGATACTATTGTTGGCAGGCTTCCAACGTTTTACTCTTCTTCAGCTTTTTTCACACCCTAAATGACACTCTCTCAGGTCTTTGTTCTTTTTTTCTCTCAATTATCACACCATTTTCTTCTTTGGCTTTGCTAAAGCTTCTTCCTTGTCAATGCTAATGTTTACTACCTACCAGTTTTACATAATGTAAATCAGAGAGAAGACAGTTCCATCATCTCTGCAGCAGCTGTGTAATTAAGGGAGTGATTTATAACTGGAAAAGCAAAATGTTCCCACATGCTATCTATGCCAGGTGTAAATGAACTGTAGGTATCCCTTAACTGTAATCTACTACTCCAACTATTTCTGCAGCTATGCAGTCAGGACAGCAACCTTTTCAGTGAGATCTTGTCAAGAAGTATCAAGAAGGAAAATATTTTGACTGTAACTGAAATAGGTATGTTGCTGGTTGGGTATAGTTGCTATAGTAATAATATTTAATTCTCAGTTACGTGTTTTCTTTATTGAAAGGTAGTACCATAAAACCAAAATAGTAAATAAATAAATAAATAAATAAATAAATAAATAAATAAATAAATAAATAAATTATATAACCTACACTGAAAAGAAGGAAGAAACACTTACATGGTAAATAAATTCCTGGGCAATTGTATGTCCACCAGAAGAAAAGAGCAAAAAGTTGGTAAGAAGATGTATTATAAGATGCTGGTTACAACACTGCTCTATATCTGCTACACTGTGTACAGCAGCCTCCACATCTTTGACAGAAAGGACCATACGGCTGAAGAGCATCATTAGATGATTGTAGACTGCTTGAGCTTCTACCTGTAAGGAACAATTTAAAAGGATGCAGGATTAAAGAAGAGTAAAGGTCATACCTATGATATTTTTCCTTTGGATTTATTCACTAACAGGAAACTGAATCCTTGGCAGAAACTACCCAAACATGAAAGGAGTCTGAATTTAAGCAGCAGGGAAAGCAGGGAAGGAAGGGCTGTACGCATTTCTTTTATAGTGACTCACACACACAGAGGTGGACAGAATGGATTTTTTAACTTTCTTTGGTCTTGCAAATTAAGCAGGCAGGGCATCAAGCCAGTATTTGACCTTTTTTAATAATAAAAGGAAATGGAGAAAGTCTCTCAGCAGAACAAGGTCAGATTTTTGCATTGTGGGAAAAAGAACAGAGGCTCCTCAAGGGCTCATTTCAGTATTACTGCTACAAATCAATTAAATCCCCATGCAACCTGACCTCGGCTGATAAAATGTTCTGGTAAGAATGCAGTTTTTTCCTTCTTCCTGTGTTGTTTGCAACTTATGTTTTTATCTATTGAGTTAGCCAATAAAAAATAATTTTCACAGTGAGTAAAAACCAGAAGATTTTGGCACCTACACAATGAAAAAAGAACTATAAGCAACTGTTGCAAAAAATCCTAACTATAATTCTGTTCATTATGTTAGAAATAAACGACACAAACTGGTAGAAAAAAACCCAAATGAGTAAGTGCAGGAACAATGGAAAAATATACCACTGCAGACCCAAAGGAAAAGGACACCCTTTCCTCAACCATGTTCATTAGGACAATTTGTTTCCGTCATTTACCTGACCTTGCTTTTCTCACCCCCACCCTATTAATAATTCCACGTAAAATAGTCTGAAAAAGCTGTCATTGTTGAAATATGCCCACAATTACATGTGAGGCAACAAATCATACCAGAACTTAAAGAAAGGTAACTGGAATTCTTCAGGATCCTTTATCCCTCCATGCATCCTATTCTTGATGTGCCTCCATCCCACATGCCGGATTGGAGACTGACAGTAGCAGGCTCTGCTCCATGAGCTCACGTACCCAAGGAGACTCATTCTTAGTGCCAAAGTTACTATGACCAACCTCCAAATTTTGTTCCTCCAGTGTTTCAGAGTCTAAAGGTATGAAAGGACTCCAACAAATGAATAAATATTGAGGAGCAGAATATTCAGTCCTTCACATATTAGTGAAGTCTAGTGAACAGCAAAAGCAGCCTTTTTCTTCTTTAAATAATTTTAACCCTATGTATTCCACTCTTGCTGATATACAAGCTGATACCTAAAGTCAGTAGCAAGAAGACAAAATCTTAAGTCATGTTTGTACACCTTTCCACACAAAAATATGCTGAATGAAAAGTCCTCTAGCTTGGCATCTGCCAGAAGCTCCTATGCCATCTTAATCCTTAACTGGTGAAAGGTGCAGGGGTTGAGGAGGAAAGTATTCCATTGGACAGAGCTGAGAGCTAACCTGCCAAAGGACAAATTAAAAGAAAAAGCAAATATCTAACTAAAGGCAGAAGCTTTGCATAAACTGTGGGAATGCTTCTGAAGTAGCCTGGCCTGCATTACAAAAAAAAAAGAAAAAAAAAAAAAAAGAGTCATAATGAACTGAAATATTAGACTTCTGAGAAAACATGAGTAACTGTGTGGGCTGTCAGTGGAAAAGCTTTTTTCTCACTAAAGTTTGTTGTACATTATGACAGAATAACAAACTGGGGGAGCAGGGGACACACAGAGAGATGATTTTATATATGGGACAATGTGACTTTATCCTGTGGTGCTGGAGTTAGAACAATGTTCCATACACAAATCTGCACCTATCATCCTTGAGTTTCATTCACTCATGTTTATTGCTGGGGTATTGCCTTATTTTCCAAAACTGTGTTCTAAAACTAACCCTGGTTTCTTTACTTCACTGTAGCTCTAACCTAACTCTGCTCAGCCAACATCTCACCCCTGCTACTAGACTTAAGAAATTAAAGAAAAAAATAATTAAAAGGTGATGTGGATGTGAGCTTGTGTTTGTACTGCCATCTGGGTGGGGGGAGGGGAAGGGAAGGAACTAAAATGTTGCAGAACACACTGTTGTCCCCGGACCACTAGATGTAAAATGGAAGCATGATGTTACACTAGCGTGGTGTACTGAGCAGCATTTTAAATCAAACAGAATCTGTTTTCGAATTGAAGAAAACTAGAGATGCTCCAATTTGAATCTAGGCTTTTCAGATTGCTTGGGCTAGTTCAAACTTGCGTAAATTAAGGTCTAAATTAAAGGCTTTCATGTATTTGCATGCATACATAGACACATAGCACTATTCATACAGTACAGTGCATGAGGTTAGAACACTGCTTTTCTCTGTTAGAAACCTAGCATATGGGAATATAACATACTTGTTACAATCTCATACATGCCAAAAATCAGTAAAGACACATAAGACAAATGAGAATAGATGGGCAAGGTTAGGATTCAGGGCTGTGTCTGATCACCGTGTCTTTACTGCTTCAACTGCTGTTGTGATTTCTCTGGTGTTTCCTTCTCAGAAGATGCCATAACACAGGAATGCTGAATTCTGACGAACAGTGATTTAAAAAATACCATTCCTAGAGTAGTTTTACTTGTGATTACAAGCACCTAAGTTATCCAAAAGAAAGCTAAGAAGGTGCTAATCTATATAATATACTTTTAAAAGATGAAAAATGTTTTCTCAATGTTATCAAGAAAATGCACAAAAATTATCTTTCAACTTCTCCACTGCCACACAAGTCCCAGGAGAACTTCTAAAGCCAATTCCTTCTCCAGTGTAAACCTTTCATTTACTGTTGTGTACTATTTGTTTTATGGCAATGTGATATAAGCAGACTATTAACTGCTTATTACTGGTTACTATCGCTACATTACCCACCATTGTTTTAGTCCTTTGTTGATTTTCATTCTGAGGACAGTAGTAAAATGCCAGCAGCCACAGCAAAGCATCTGGTTCTACAGCAGCCTTCAGTAATTGTTCTGCTGCAATATCCAGCCATTCTCCAAAACGAGCAACCAAAAACCAGATTTCAAAAAGGTCAGCAAGAGAACTGGAAAATAACAAATATAAAATTAAGTGTTTCTTGATATTTAACATTTTAACATGTCTTAAGTTAACTGCAAAGGGTGCTGGCATGAAAATAAAAATAGTTAAGCTACTCTTCAACAGATAGTGCCTTACCTTACTCTGTTATCTGCAGTCATGATGAAATGAGACACATGCAGTGCTACTAACAGATCTAACTTTGCCAGTAGAACAGACTAACTGGTTTCTAATAAACTGTCTAATAACTGTGGCAAAATACTGTGTATTAAAATATACATTATAAAATTAAACCTCATCTTTTATATTATCCATTTTAAGCATTTTCAAAACTTTAAATCATATCTCAAGTGTTGTATTCTAATATATTTTTATCTCGTATTGTCTTCCAGTTTCTCTCTGTTGCTTTCCAGGGTTATTTTCCAGTTTTTGGTAATTCATAAGGCATGTGTTTCTTGGTAATTCATGAGGAATTACATTTAGATGGACTAAATGTAAACTTTTAAAATATATTAATCTCTGACTCTTAATATTCAGGTCCTCTTTAATGAAAAATTTAAAGGTACTGACAACTGGGTTACTTCAGTAAGAAAAAGAAAGGTGAGAATGGACCACAGCTCATCTCTACTCTTTTGCACATGTACTCTTCTAAAGTTAGATAAGACTAAAGAAAAGAGAAATAATGGGGAGATGCAAACCAATGGTAGGCACCTGCAAAGCAAAAAGTCAAACTAAGCATGGAAGGAAGGACAGACAGAATGACAGCTGGAAGGAGAAAAGAACCAGGAACAATTATTCCTATTCAGTTTGGAAAAAGTTTGAAGAATTAGAGGTTTTATTATGTTTTTTTCCTGATGGGGGACTCCAAGATGCTGTGCCACCCTTCCCAGGAAACTCCAAGAGACTTTAGAAATTTCAGGAGTCAATAAAGTTGTCCAAAACCATCACATCATCTAGGGAACATGACAAGGTCATAGTTGGAATAAACAGCTTTATCTGTAAGACTTTCTGAAGAAGTGGGAGGCACAGTTTTACAGATGAAGGTGTGATGTGTGCAGATAGTATTCTATGTCTGGAGTATACCGGTGACTGATCTTGTCCACAGGTGTCCCAGAAATTATTGATCCTGTAAATTAAATTGTCTATATGCCACAGAATCTCAGGTTCTAAAAATCCTATTCCTAGGACACAAATCTACCACACCAATATTTTTGGGTAAGCGTGATCACTGACATCAGACATAAGAGGCTGACATAGATTCATAGAGAGAAAATGAAGTACTAAGGTGACTGCTATAAAAGTCACCATTGTTGATATTCCATATCTTTTGAAGGGGCAGCAGCATGGCTCAGACTGCAGGGAACTAGTAATATATGACAAAATCTGAGACTAAAATTTCTTAGCTAAAGAAACAGGATCAGCATCAGTAAAGACTTTGAAGATAGTAGAGTCTGGAAATGCAGTGTTAAAAACCTTTGAAAAAACAAACAAATGTGACTGATCTAGGACAGCAGCCCTCCCCCCAGCAAAATAACTTACTTATCTGACTATCGTTCAACGCTGTGACAATGTAAGTGGATAGGCTAGTTCTGAAACCCAGTGATACACAATCAAAGATGAAATTTAAATAAAAGTTAATTACTGAGAACAGATTACTACACTTAAGGTAATATTGATAATATTTACGACCGGAAGCATTCATAGCTCAAAGAGTAAATACAAACCCCTAAGCTTTAATCATTAAACTAATTTTAACAGGTACTTAGCAGAATAGGATTTAATTCTGGCCTAGGCACCCCTGCACTTAAAACTCAGCATAACATTCCTGTACCACCACTGTGTCTGGTTTGAAGCCATGTACCCTCCACTTCTGTCCCCATTGCTGTTTCTTCCTGCTCTGTAGTGGCACCTACATCAACTGCTGAACTGTCATTGCGAAAAGTGGCCCTTCACTTTTTCTGGGAGTTTCCCCACAAAATGTACATCAGTTGATTTCTAGTTTCACATGTCACATAACATTTACTGTTCACAGAGATTACTACATATAATAATAAATAATGGCACAGAAGCAATCTGTTGATTATAAGTATATGGAAAGCACCTTGCTGTAAGAATTATATTTGGTATAAAATAAAACTATTGAATAACAAGCTATAGAAACAGAGAGCAATGACTATAAAAAGCAAGAGGATATGCTGTATAGTAGTATTTTTTGCTCCTCTGTGTATCTTATTAAGTAGAAAGCATGCAGAATCAGGAATAAAGCAATAAAAGAAAATTGATTAGTTTCTCATAGATATTAGTATTTAAAAACTTAAGCCAGATCCATTTTCTCTGTAACTGAGAGGGGTTTTGTAGAAAATATAATTGTTGCATGAGCTCTAAAGGAAGTAAGAGGATGTTTTGGGAAGCACGATACCATTCAAACTAGTGTATTATCAAAGCAAAGTGGGAAAAAGACAATACAAGCCAAGAAAGGGCTGGGCAACAAAAGGAAAACAGACATCCTTCTGTTGTTGTAACACATTACGATGGATGATATTTGTTCTATTTGTTTGCTCTAAATTTGAGTTACTTGTTCCTTTAAGAAGCCAAGGTCAGCTACTGGTCATGCTCCAAGGGCGGAAAGGTTTGACAAACTTCAGGGATGAACAGGGGAGACATAGCACAGAACTGCAGCTCATACAGAGAGTGAGAAGCTGCCAGCAGACAGCTTGACCACAGAGGGAACAGCAAAAAGCTTTTTTCTGCCACTCAACAACAAAAATAAAAGCCTCCATAAGTTAAGTGAAACCAAGCGTGGAGGCAAGTGCTGATGCCTTTCAGGACACAGGGGGACAGCTGAGTATCTTGTTTTGCAAGTCTATCTGGCTTAGGCATTCCATGTTTCTATTTAAATATTTATGGTTTTAAATCAAAATGGAATTGTTTTCTTTGTATTTAAAAGCTGTTCAATGTTCTTTAGAAAGCTTGGAGCAGATTTCAGCAGAGTTATATCCAAGCTCTAGCTTGGATATAACACACACCTGATGAGAAAAAACTAGAAAGCAGCAATAGATAGAGATGCATCTTTTTTCGTTCTTTTCATAGAGTCCTAGAGCATCTACTACCAAAGCAGAATTGACGTAGACAAACACTAGCATTCATTATAGCTGCTATACGGACAAAAAAAGCTAAGGGCAACAGCTCAGAAAGGTGACAGACAGGTGTCAGCTCAACGAGTAATAAACAGTGATACCTCAGTCTACCAGTCATATCTTTATGAAAAAAAATCAAGAAGTTTGAAGTTTGGATGTTTGTACAAGCCTGCAGAAAGCAAATACAATCTCCTTCCTGAAACAGTACCGCTCACAACAGGCTCTTTTCAATGCTACTTGCTTTCCTGGTTGGAAGAGTTTTCTTGTTATTCAATCCAGAATCAGTTTCAAAAGTTTCGGGGGAGAAATGGGAGAGTGGGCAAGTAAGCATTTCTGTTATACAGCTAGCTATTTGCTGAAATTAAAAGAACAAGATTTTCTTTACTCGGAGGCTTATTGGTCAGGCCTGTAAGTGCTACAAAGTTCAATAATTACTATTATTCTAATTAAAAAACGATGACAGGTAGCCACTAAAGACTTCAAGCGACAAACGCAAAGGATAAATAGTTAGAAAATATAATACTGCTTACCTAATATTTGTATCTTCTACTAATGCTTTCAGCATATCTGAAATGTGTTTCAAGTGTTGAGACCAGTGTGTAGCTGGCATTTCTGAGAAGGGAGGATAAAAACAAAACTCTTTAAAAACTCTAATCTGTCCAACTAGAACAGAACAGTGAAATTAACTGTATTCAGCTAGCACTAAAATTTGTGCAACTTGATTCATCACAAAGCACTTAAAATTTCATTTTAAAATTTCCCAATTTTCAACAATACCTATTACTGTGTTTCTTAGAACTGTTCATTGACAAAGCCATGTGAGGAAGTACAGCTAGAAATATTCAAATGAGGTTGAGGTACCCTTGTGTAAATGCTACTTCAATATTGATATATAACCAGTGGAATAATATTCTCAGAGGCTCTTGTCTTGAGCTTAAATTATTGCTCATGAAAACCTGTACCATACTGAGCAGTGTTTTCTTGATCTATAAAAATAGGAAAATTGGAAAAAAACCCCCCCTAGGTTTGCAATGTAGAAGATCAGCAGAATTCAAGCATCAGAGACAAATGGCAAGGCTATTTCTTGTAATACAGATATGAAAAATTTCATAATGACACTAATATTATAAGAATATTTAGTATTTTTACAATCTCAGTAACTTGTATTCTTTTCTACAAAATTATGCACTCCTTCCTTGCTTTTCACTTCTGGTTTAGTTTTCTTTAAAGTTACATCTGTACTATTGTTACATAAGAATTAGACGTTCCTAAAAAAAATACATTAAAGACTACTATTAAAATTGCTAAGTCAGCACACCATATTTAGGAAATGGCAAAATTTTGTCGTCATAGTTTTTAGAGTTATTTTAAGACATATAGAGATCATGCAGGTTGGCTAATGCTGCAAAGATTTCATGAAGAAACTTACCAAAAGGACGTCTGAGTAAAGCTGTTACAAGAGGCTGGTGATGGCAAGGGAAGTAGGCCTTCAGAGGAAATTTATGCTAAGATACAAAATCATTATTTTAAAAGCTTTCTGTTCAGTTTTCAAAACAGACCCATGGTGAACAATCTCATCTAAGGTAGTAATAAACAATACAGACTAGAAGCAAGATAACACAAAAGTAATCCTACACTTAATTTTAGGATTTTGCATAAAGAAAGAAAGGGGATATTTAGGAAAAGCTTACTCAGAAAAAGTAATTATTTATGGATTTTTAAAATATGTGCATTAAAAAGATTCAGAATATGAAGAAAATTAAATCTTAATAAATATTCTTTGTTTTTTTTCCCAAAATCACAAAAATCTTCACTCTTAACATGCAGCGGTTAAAAGAGACACTAATTACTTTTATTTTATTTTCCAGTGTAAACAGGTTCATGGATGATATTAAACTAAGAACTAATAACATCTACAAAGGGTGCGATATAGATTATTGCTTTATGTTCAAAAATGGAAACCTAAAAATCTTAGAATCTGATTCAGCACAAGGTAGGGTCCTCATAGGTAACAGCCTTGTCCTCTATTTACTGGGGTACGTGCGATTTGCATACTGTGAACATTGCTTGTGTAATTGCGACTAGCAGCAGCATACCTTTAACCTTTTTGTTCTGCAAACATCTGCTACAGGCATGTCTAATGTGTAGCATGCATGTGCAAGCATGCAGTATGAATGCCTTTTGAGGTGGGATGAAAACTGGCTGAACAGCCAGGCCCAGAGGGTGGTGATCATTGACACAAAGTCTAGTTGGAGGCCTGTAACTAGTGGTGTTCCCCAGGGGTCGGTACTGGGACCAGTCCTGTTTAACATCTTCAGCCATGACCTGGATGTGGGGATAGAGTCCACCCTCAGCAAGTTTCCTGACGATACGAAGCTGGGAGGAGTGGCTGACACACCAGAAGGCTGTGCTGCCATCCAGCAAGACCTGGACATGCTGGAAAGTTGGTCAGAAAGGAACCTGATGAGGTTCAACAAGAGCAAGTGCAGAGTCCTTCACCTGGGGAGGAATAACCACATGCACCAGTACAGGTTAGGGGCAGACCTGCTAGAGAGGAGCTCTGAGGAAAAGGACCTGTGTGTGATGGTGGACAGCAGGTTCACGATGAGCCAGCAGTGTGTCCTTGTGGCCAGGAAGGCCAAACAGTGTCCTGGGGTGCATTAAAAAGAGTGTGGCCAGCAGGTCGAGGGAGGTTCCCCTCCCCCTCTACTCTGACCTCACGAGGCCACATCTGGAGTATTGTGTCCAGTTCTGGGCTCCTCAGTTCAAGAGGGACAGAGATCTTCTGGAGAGAGTCCAGTGGAGGGCCACAGAGATGATGAGGGGCCTGGAGCATCTGCCTTACGAGGAGAGGCTGAGAGAGCTGGGACTGTTCAGGCTGGAGAAGAGAAGACTGAGAGGGGATCTGATCAATGTCTATAAATACCTGAAGTGTGGGAGCCAAAGGGATGGGGCCGGGCTCTTTTTGGTGGTACCCAGTAACAGGACAAGGGATAATGGGCAAAAACTGGAACACGAGAAGTTCCAGACAAACTTAAGGAAAAACTTCTTTACTGTGAGGGTGACAGAGCACTGGGACAGGCTGCTCAGAGAGGTTGTGGAGTCTCCATCTCTGGAGATGTTCAAAACCCGCCTGGACGCTTTCCTGTGTAATGTGCTGTAGGGAACCTGCTTTGGCAGGGGAATTGGACTAGATGATCTCCTGAGGTCCCTTCCAACCCCTACCATTATGTGATTCTGTAATTATACTTCTTGCTACCTAATAGGCATCATTTAAAAAGGAGAAAGAGGCAAACATCAAAAGTGCAAGAAAATAAACCTTTGTTTCCTGTACTTATATCTAGTTGATGGCTCCAAAAGTAAATTCTGTATCCCACTCCCGGGGCTAATTTCTTCCAGCCATAGATATTGTGTTGGTTTCTCTTGGTTCTGCCAAATAAAAACAGAACATAGTGTACCTCAAATGAATGTGCATCAAGTAAGCCATTAAAAACTGACTGAACTAGAACAGCTTTTTGATCACTTTTCCAGTTCTGGATCTCAAAACACTTTGTTATGGAGTTGGTCAGCCTTAGGTATGTTTATGCTACATCACCATGAAGTTACGAAGTGGGAGATATGGTTGAATAAGTTCTCAGAATAAGATACATAAAAATATAAGTTATGAAGTTCATTAAATGAAAGGAAAGTATTTTTTTCTAGGGGAAATTGATGTGAATCCAAAAGCTTTTCTGGGGCCCAGTATCCTAGTTATTTTACCCCTCTTATAGATTTGGCTGCCTGTGCTCAAGGCTAGTTCAGATATGGTGCAGCTGTGTGACCTTGGATCAGGCTGCTGCGAAAAGTGCTGTGAAAGATCAGCCAGAAGCAATGCTGGGGCTCCCTGCTTTGCTTGGGAGCTGCAGGTAAGGTCAGGCAGTGAGTCCTTGAGCTATACTGCAGCCGTGCCACTGCTTGGTCATGTACTTTGCTGATTCAGTCCCTGACCACACTTGACTTCATCATTTACTTCAGAGCTGTCTGATCACTGCAAACTTGCCTGGAGGTTGCTGGACTCATGGCTGATGAGGTTAACCAGCATCAGACCTATGCTGCTCTTCTTGTTCTGGGCCCATGCCTGTAAAGCTACCACTCCACATGCCCAATGCAACAGCATTGCCTTCAGCTCTGGGCTTGCCTTCCCATATGAAGATGCCCAGTCCTGCTGCTCTTTGACAAGCTCTTTGCTCTTGTTAGGTGTGCAGGGTTTTTTTTGTTTTAATTGGGTCTGTTACGAGTAGAGCTTCTATTTGTAATAGACCTTCTATAATGAAGGGAGGAAGATAAGCTCAAAAGAAAACTTAAACCAAAATGTCAGAGAAAATATTTATCTGTACTTTAAAGATGCCCGACTGCTGTAAAGTGCTGTAAAGTGGTATTAGAATATTATTTATATGCATAATTTTTTATCCAGCCAATACAGTCCTTAATGAACACACAGCTTTTCTGAAAAATGACATTTATTGAGTAAAATTTTTGTATACATACATCTTTTCTGTCTTTTGGCCCTTTCCCTCACCCTCCTTCAGACTTAGAACTTTACTATTTGTTGTTCAAACCCAGCTCTGGTTATGCTACAGTTCATCCACTCTATGTGGAGGTTAATTCAACTGCCTTGTGCTAAGAAGTTTTTTTACATTACGTTTCTAGGCAATTTGTGGTACATGAAGCTTTGTCTTCAAAGAATGAGGTTTATAGTATTTATAAGAAAAACATCATAGGTTAGAAGAACATTTTCATTTTAAGATTATTTTTGGCCGCTTCTTTTTTCCTAGAGAAATCCTTGTGCCATAGGCTTTTTTTCTTCTTCCCAGATGATGTGACATCCTCAAGATCCTTATTAAAAATGTTTGAAGGCAATCAGTTAAACCTTTTATACTAGTGAGAAGGACTAGATCTACTCTCAAGAGGTCTATTTTTGTCCAGTTTTGTTTCAAATATTTTAAGAGTTTTCCATATTGGTTTTTATGATTAAATAAAATAATGGTTGAAACATTGTTTTAATTAAGCATCGCTTTCAGAAGTGAGCCCTATTACTGTTTTATGTTTGTCACACGATGGAGACATGAAGACATTCTGTACTTTTAACAGCAGGACTATAAAAGATCAGGACTTCACTGGCTGTCCTGTTTCCTATCATCATGAAAGTGGACACTTCAAGAGCTGACTGTGGATGTGTTGTATTACTCTTATGGAGACATTTTCTAACATAATAAACTGTATATAATGAGATACCAGAGAAGCGAGGCAAGAATGGGAGAAAGGAAGTAGTATATTTAAAAAAAAAAAAAAAAAGAAAAAAAAAAAAGAAAAAAAAAGAAAGAGAGCATTTGGCTTTTCTCTTATAAACTACTGTTTTGTACTTTTTGACACAGCCTTTTTAAAAATTGGCTGAAAAACATGGACAGGGTATATAATAGACAACATTAATTTGGTAGCAGAAACTGGACATTAGAGATGAAGAAAGGAAAACTGAAATCAGCAAATTATTAAATAATGTTAAATCACCCTGCTCCCTTTCTAGATTTATGAACACATGGACAGAGCTTTTAGTATCGTTAGTACAGAAGAAACATCTGTCAGTCATTAAAAGTCTACACTACACAAGTATAGTATATTAACAAATGTTCAATCTCCATGGAAATATATCAATGTGAATGAACTTGTCACTGTCTTTGGGAGCTACACAAAGGTAATGGCAAAACATGATCAGTACAGAAATTATATTCAGAAAGCATATTCAAACAACTTCATCAGCAGGAGGCACAGGAGGTGCAGGGCAGCAAGCAGTATTACAGGAAGGAGATGTCATATCCCTTTACAACTAGACAAAATGCACACCAAGGTAGGCACTGTGAGTCATGAGACAGTGACAGCTGCTGTCAGTAGGAGCTGTGCTCTTTACTGGTTGGTTCCCAAACTTTAAACCACCACTTCTGGAGCTGTTCTTCAAATTTTTCCAAGGCACTCATTCTGGGGACAAGTGATCACTTAAAAGGTAGCAGAAGAAATAGTTTAGAAAACTGGTTTATTTGGCATGAACATAACAGTTTTCTGCATTCAAGAGGAAATGATGAAAAACTATAGAATGAAGAAACTCCAAGAATGAAGTAATTCAGTTATACAACAAATGAGTTATATACAACCACAGTCTAACAATTTCCTCAGAATTTTTCATCTGAATACAGGTCACCTCTCTGTGTTAAGATATGTAGAAGTGTGATCTAAATATATGTGAAAAACATTACTTGTTTTATTGATAAGCCTTTGCATTATGTCATTAACAATATTCTAAATATTATCACAGAAAAAAAAGTTTATCTTCAGACCTGTTCAGATCAGCTAATCCTTCAACTGAAATGCAACAGTCTTCTTAACTCAGATTTTTTTTTTTCAGGTCCCTCTGTCTTAATTGGAGGAATCAACTGCATGCCTTGAGTGTCTAGCAAATCTGGTTCTACTAGATGAATGACAACAACAAAGTGAGTTCTTTCAATAAAAGATCCCGTGCTGGGGATCTGAGAGGTGAAAATCTGAAGTATTTTATTTTTATAATCCTAAGAATTTTTTTTTTCTGCTACAGAAATACTGAAATTTTGGAAATCATTGATGCTGATTGTCGTCTTGGAAAGTATACTGTATATTTTTTCAATATCATAGAGTGCGGAGCATACCACCTGTTCCCTGCATTCATGGAAGTCACAGAAGCAAGCTAGCCAATACAAAAGTAAGGAACTAATCAATGTACTAAACATTTCTACTAACTATTTGGAAGAAAGAAAACCCAGAGAGGAAAATACCAACTTCTATTGTCAAGTATTGTGGTGATTGAGGCTCATAAATGCCTACTGGTAGAAGGGCAGACAAATAACACCCTACTTGATAACACACCCTACTTGAGTGGAAAGCATTGATCAGTGACAGCAGAAATCAGCAGATGCTGTCAACCATACGCTAATTTCATTTAATTTCACTACTTTGTACAGCTGTACACAAATCTTAAACATTACTGAAATTCCTACCCAAATCCTATCTTACTGCACTGGATTTTTAACTTCTTGGTGGTTGTGCTTGATCTTTCTGAGACATGGGTTCCCTTACATCAAAAAACACCTAAGATGGTCAGTTTTGTTGGTGAAAAGGGACATGCACAGCCCTGCTGAATTTTGACTGCATCAGGCAAGATGTTCCCTGGAAATCTACTTTGGCTATGATTCCTCTGCCATATCCTTTTTAGTTTTTAGCCAATAATGAACCACATGACAACATCCCATTGAGTCTGTTGGGAGATTTGCTTGACTAAGAATTTTTCTAAGAGTGCTGAACACCCTGTGGGCTCTATTTTGTTTTATCATGCAAGCATTTTGAAGGGGAAAAAAATGTGTTGCTTATTGGTGTTCTCAGTGAAGGATTTTGCTGTGAAAATTATTATGCTTTTCTTTTTTGAGGGTTTGGATATGCATGAGTAGTATGTTTCATAGTCTTTGAAAATTCAGGAAAAGCAAAAAAGAAAAACACAAAAGAAAACACACCACCTAATCAGATCTCTATAGAAGCCAAATCTACTTATGCAAGGAAAAAGAGAAGACTTAAAGAAATTATCTTCCTTGTGTCTTTATACAAGTCATTGTCTTGTAAATACATAATCTTTCTGTTACAGTTTTCTTCCAACTTGAATGACCACCAGCAGTACAGGCTTTGCTAACACTACTTTCTACATATGGTAAAACCAAAAGCTCATCAGCTTTTAACTCCTTTTAGCTGCTGGTGACCAACAAGCACTTCCCTTTTTAGAAAGCTGATCAGGCCAACAGGTGTTACATGGTGTTAACGTGGAAAAGAAAATCTCCTTTCTTCTGCTGACATATTTTTGGGAAGTAGGTTGATTTGTGCTTGTGGGCAATGCCTGACTTTTTGCCAGAGAGTGACAGTTGATAATTACACTTTTCCTGGAATCACCTTATTCAACCAATAAAGGATGAGATACTTTTTCAACATGTGCTAAAACCAGATACCATCCACCTGAACTATATATAATGCATATGGTGTTCTCAGGAAAGGTCCACTAAGAGGCATATGGGAAAAAGTACCTCTGTACTTTTATATTCCCCCATCTGCCTCTGTATTTATCTAGAACTTTAATCCTGACTTGAAAACTAAATTATGTATGTTGGCATTGCAGGCACCTTGTATGCATATGTCTGTAATATCTGCCCATACAGCTTACAAATGCTCACTAAAATTACCTTTTAAGTAAGTCCAATCTAAATCACTTAACAGTAGCTGCAGATTGCAGCAAACTGGCTCCTCAGACCTCTGGCACCACATAAATGTAAATCTCTCCATGGGCTTTGAGATTCCATTCAAACTGAAACTACTGAAATATCACTAACTATTAAGTAATTTTAATAACTTTGCTATGAAATCAACATGAAATACAAAAGTAATTAACCCTGACCATGAGGTAAGGATGTTTCTCTGGATAGGAATTATAAACAGCACGGTCCAAAAGTCTGAGACAAATGTGACCAATGCAATTCAACTGGTTTGAAACTTTGGTTTCAAAAGTCTACCTCCCCATAATTTTGTGGGTCTGGTTTCCCCCTTTCAGTTTCATAATAAGAATTCTTCCACTTCGTGACAGCTAGCTACATGAGAGGTCTGATCTGAAAACAATTAAACCATACACACACAAACCCATACAGTCACTCACATACTCTGAGATGTGTGTTATCCCATAGATCTGGAGTGCCTGGAAAAGCTCGCAGGTAACACCAATGAACTCCACAGCTTCTACTCCATTGCAAACTCCCTTTTTTGCACAAATTAATCTGGAAAAGCATCTCTGTGCTTAAACTACCATGTTTTTCTGTCCTTTGACACTGTTGATTATATGATGCTTATGAGACAAATGTGACTAAAAAGAAAATTCACCTGATAGATCATTCATTCCCATGCAACTGATGTCCATAATCATGGAAGATACTTGTTACTCATTACCAAATATCTAGGCTGGCAACCAGAAGCAATCTCTAACCAGACAAAAACAGAACAAGACACTCTGCTGGGCTAAAAGTCTCCAAGATAGACAACAGTCTAAGCCCAGGTACTATCTTAAGAGTGTGAGTCCTTACAGCATCAAGAAAAGATATTAACAAAGTCTTGAGAATCAGGTGACATGGACAATGTAAACTGGAACTAGAACAGCCAACATCTCTGATATCCCATTAAAACTCTGTCTGTGATACCTCTGTAGTATGTTATGGACATACAGTGATACCTCTGTTTCCATACGATTCACGCTGCCTTCTCTTTCTTTGACTTCTTTGTGACATTGCAGCTGGAAACCACCAGCAGTCCGAGGCTCTTGTGCCACCATCATGGACACACAACTGACTCCTATACTCTCAAGTTGACAGTCACCTACTACAGGGCTTGGCTGCACATACAATGCAGCTCCTGCACTGGGCATGTCCAGTTACTGCCATGATGTCTTGCTAGATGTGTCTCAGACTTTCCAGGTAATTGCCTGGCCCTGCACTTCACGAGTTTGCAGAGGCACCATAATTCCTGCTACGACTCATGATTTTTCCACACAGCTTTTTTCCTTTCTTTTGAGCCAAGCAAAGTAAAACAGTAGCCATATGAACTGCTGGCAGATTTCCCAGCGGCAAGCCTCCAACTGCAGTGCCTTGCAGAAATAATGCAGGCTCAAGCTAGAATTACTGCATTTAAGATGAACTCTAATGACAAAATTTTTCATTCAGAATTATTTCAATAGAGACAATATTAATTTTTTTCTCCTGCCTCCAACACAGCACACATAAATCCTCCTACATGATGTTAGATGCAGGCATCCCTGCTCAGTGATAATTGTTTTACATTTTTGCTATGAACCTTCTGTTTTCAGTTCAGGGGACACTTCATGTCTGTGTTAGGCATGAAAAGGATATCTTAGACATCAGCATTTTAGATCAAGGTGCACTCACAATGACAATAAATGACAACTTCTAACTTGCAACTTTCGATTTTAATATTCTCTTCTTCTTCATTACATTCCATAGACAGTTAGAGAACATGAGTGCTTAGAATATTCTGCCTAGCTAAACAAAATTTCCAAAAGAGTGAAGAGTGCTGCCTGATCAGGGGTAATGGTGATTTATAACTGATTTTTTGGGGAATGCATAAACAACTTTTCCCAGTGTAAGTGCAAACAGTGACAACTATACTGTAGCCGGTGTAGGTAAGCACGCAACTCTTTGATCTTATCCCAAGGATGACTCCTCCACAGCAGGTGGAGGGTGCCACTGAACTCCTTGAGGCTGGAATGGAAAGGCAGGTCTCATGGCTTTTTGAATACATCCCACAACCTTTTCACTAAACAAACAGTTGTTGATTTCCCAGCTGATAGCATGCAGGTCCTTGAGTTCGTAGTGAGCCAATCTTTACTTGCTGGTAAAACAGCAGTGTGTTGTCTGGATTCAAAATTATTGGAGAAAGGGACTTTACCTTCTCTGTGGACACTGCTGAGCCTGCTAGGTGGTCTGTAACACTTTTCTTCCACCAAATACTAACAATTTAATTTTCTCTAAATGACTATGACACAACTCACTCATGAGTAAAACATAAAATACAATCATATTATATGAAGTGTCTCCAGGATCTGCCATGCTTTATTTCTAGACATTTCTGGGCCTTTCTAGGTAATGGCCTCACCCTCTGCTTTGTAAGTGTGCAGGAACATGGTAACTTAGTGCAATTCTTCTCCACGCTGCCTTTGTCCTTTCCTCTGAATGAAGAAAACAAAATACTGCAGTATCGAAGCCTGTAAATGACTTTAATCCTTAACTGTTCTGAGGTTCTTCTGGACACATGATTGTGTCTCAATTTCATTTTTTATGGGTGAATTTATTCTCTCATATTAGGAATATCTACTGATTTGAAATGGTTAGCTTGTGTGGTTTTAGCAATTAAATAAAAATAATCCTTGAAGGAAAGACTTTCAAGCAACCACAGTGCAGACTGTGAACCTGAATGCCAGTTGAAACTAACCCTCATCAGTATTCAGTTTGCAATAATAACAGACAGTATATATAAATTGCTCCAAAGGAGGAGGCCCCCAACCCACTTTAAAAAGCTGGAAATAGAATCACAGCCTTTAATCTCTTTTGGTTTGGGTCACAAAACTGAGAGCCAATGTTAAAGCTCTATGAAATCAGCTCATGAACTGTCCATACATTGCATAATCTGCTAGGAAACTAATTTGACATTTGAAAGCCAAACTCAGACTTAGTTAAGCATTTTCAACTGCACTGATGAGTGGTCATTAATAATGCATTCTGTAGTTAGACCTCAGGTAACATGTTACTGTTGCATAAGGCAAAGTGTTTTCTATCCACCTTGATGTCTAGCATTGTAGATCCAGTACTAGTTTAATCAGTGGTAAAAGTCCTGAGAAATTAAAAAACTATTTTATGTGCAATGCAAACACTTCTATTTGCTTGCTGTTTTACAGAGCAAATTCGGGTGGTTTTGTTTTTTTTAATAAAAGGAGAATTTTCTAAGGGGAATGGGAGAATATTAATTTAATCCACATAATATTTCTGCCCGGGGAGGCTGTGAAGTCTCCTTCTCTGGAGACATTCAGAACCAGCCTGGACACCTTCCTGTGTGATCTCGTTTAGGTTCCTGCTCCGGTAGTGGAGTTGGACTAGATGATCTTTCGAGGTCCCTTCCAATCCCCAACATTCTGTGATTCTGTGTGAATATATGTTTATGGTTTACCTGTTTATTGTTTAATATTTATTATTGTTTTTACACTCTTGAAATCATATATCCAGAAAGGTAGGATGTGTTTCTCAATTGTTGAAGTTTATTATAAAATTAAGTGGCTTGAACTTCAATGAAATACTTAAAGTGTGTCAGTGTACACTGATGTATTCACTGCTCTAATAAATGCCTTTTCAAGATTATAAAAAGCCTGTACAAGACAGTGAATAGCAAAGTCAGTAGTGTTTATTTACAACCATTTTGCTTACCAATCACTTTAGTCACTGGAATTCTCTTGCCAAGATAAAATACCTAAGTGTAACTCTAGGATCTTCCCAAAATTTTAAAGTTAGATGCACATTGACATAAAGTATTATTTACTTTCTGAAATGAGAACATGACTTGTAACTAATGGAAAAAACTAGTTCATAGTAATGATGAAGGATTTTATTTTTGATTTGTGTACAACAAGTAGTGAGAGCATTCTAGTTCAAACAGAAAGCAAAATTAATTTTCTCCTCTAAAGAAAACAAAGTAAAAATATTTTTTTGCTGCTATCTTTTTTGAAGAACATTTACAAAACAACTCTAAAAGAAGATGCAAGTGTTTTCTATATGCTTGTTAAGTATGACATTCTGAGCTTTCTTGTTTTTGTTAAGCCACGTATGTCACTTTTTAAAATGTCAAATAATTTCTTTTAAACATGTAGTTGTGAGTTTACTGCAGCAAGCCATCTATTGATTTAGCTGTCTGGTTAGGCCAGATAGCTTAGCAGAACATATTACTAATTACCTATCACAATTGCATTGCTACAGATTCATCATAGAATAAAAGAATACAAATTTCAACTTTCCATTGAGTTTTGTATCAAAAATGCGAAGTGGGCAACACTATATGCTCATACACACAAAATCAGAAAATGGAAGCAGTCAACGAGACATCAGCAGTAAATGCCACAGGGCCTCCATTTTCTTTTTTTATTCTAGCATGTTCTCCTTCTGCAACATCAGAAGTTTTACCAGGTATTTTTTTAAGGGGTCTTTCTTCTGTATTTTGTGTTTCCTTACTCAACTCAACCACTTACATTAAGAAATCTGAGCAGAATAAAATATTTGGGAATTAAATAATATTTTTCAGATAGTTTCATCTAAAATATTCTCTATAGTGTAATGGGCTTTGTGTATAGTAACAACATAAAGAATTGTATCAAGTGCAAAGTGAAATTTTAAAGAGTTCCAGTCTAGATTATGTGGCACGTTATCAATTGCAATTATGGTATTATAATAAAAAAACATATTTTCACAGGACCCTACATTCATTGTTCAAAGGTTCAAGAAATTCAAGTAATGAAAGAGCCTGGCTGATCTCTAGGAAGAAATTCTTCACTGTGATAGGAAGAAATTCTTTCCTGTAAGGGTGGTGAGACACTGGCACAGGTTGCCCAGAGAAGTTGTGGATGCTCCCTCCCTTGAAATGTTTAAGGCCAGACTGGATGAGCTTTTAAAGCAACCTGATCTAGTGGAAGGTGTCCCTGCTGATGGCAGGGGGGGCTGGGACTAGATGATCTTTAAGGTCCCTTCCAACCCTGACCATTCTATGATTCTATGATACTATGATTCTATCTCAATGTTAGTTTTGGAATTAGTAATGGGGACATGGAGAACATACTGGTTACACAACTGCTATTAAAGTTACTTGTAGTCCTTAACACTGATAGTGGAGTTAGACATGGCTGCAAAGAGTATTCTCACAGCATAGAAAAAAAACTGAACTGGTGATTTTGTTCTTGTGTTGATTGATGTAGTAAAGAGTTGAAATTCAAATATGCTTGTTAACTATTGCTTGCATGTCTTGGATGACTGCTCGTTCTTGGACTTCAGAGAAAAGTCTGTGTTCAAAGAGAAACAAGCCAGCATCTACCACTTCCTTGTTAATCATGACAATTTACCCATTAAATGTGACGTCAGACATTAAAACATTCTATAGAATGAGTCTTTTCTCTGTAGATTATTTGATTGATGGTAGTGTAGGATAAATTATAATAACTGAATATAATTATTTTTGCTTCATTTTCAAAGCTATTTGAGCCACACAATAATAATAAAAATCCTCATATTCCTTCCTGGTCTTGCTTTTATTAATTCAAATTATATTCCAAGTAATAAGGAAGTTGTCTTCAAGATGTCAAGAAGCACACAAAATCCCTTTAATTTCTTTAAAATCTTGTCACCTTTGGCCACTCTAAATAGTAAGATTCATAATCTTTTTTCCCCCTGTAGATATACACAAAAATTGCATTCTTCCATTGTTAAGACTTTAGAATAGCAAGATATAATTCACCACGGAAAAGTTTTCATAGTAGAATTACACTTTAGGCAAATTAGTGACAAGCAGCAAAATGCTCCTGGGATGCTGTGTAATTATTCTCATGATAACCCCCACTCTCTTTTTGCTTTATTCTTTTATTTATTTGCTTTATTCTCTCTGTCTCTCCTCTAAATTGTATTTTTACAAAGAACTGTTCAGTCTATCATTAAAACATGAAGGTTTACAGAGGGACTTTCAAAAGGTTTAAACTTAATTGATGTCCAAACCCTCTCAGTCTGCAAATCAATAACAAAAGAAGTTTTGCCTCCTTTTTGCAAACAGAGCAGACGTCTAAGTAAAATATCACCTCTGGAACAGAAGCAACTGACTTTTATG